AAAATAATTAAAAATACGTTAAACATGAGTTTTAAAAAAAAAAACATTTGACCCACATTTTCTTTTAAAAAAATTAATCATTTCATTAACATTTATTATTTTTGCAATACAAATTTCTCAATATAATTTTCATCATTTTATTATGAAATTTTATATGGAATATGACGTAAAAAATTTCGAAATTTTACATTTGAAAAAGTCACATTACATATAAATTTTCGGATGCAAAATTATATGGGGTATGATTTTTTTGGACGTAAATTTTCGATTTTAAAATTTCTCTCAATTTCTTTGCAANGCAAAATTACACGTGGATGATTTTTTTGAACGTATATCTTCGTTAGTAAAATTTCTCTCAATTTCTTTGCAAGTTCGATTGTGCCCTTTTAATTTTAAACTTCAGCGTCCGCCCCTGATTATGCATAAGAATAAGGATCTTAATCAAGCGAACAAAAATCAAAAGATCCATTTTTCCTTTGCTAAATGGTGAGAAAATTGAAGGGAGAAAAGAATCATCAATCATTTCATTAGAGATATTACATAAATTTGACCACTTAAGTATGCAACACGATAATAAACTTGCTTCAACTTTATAAATCCATAGATTCTGGAATGAGTAAGAAATCTATTATAAATTAAGGGAAACAAGTTGCACGGAAATATTCTAAAATTTACAATATTTACAAACCCAATTTGTGCCTAATTAATTATGCCAAAATGGATTTAGCTTCAACCAACATTGTAAATCAAAGTTTCTTCTTCGGTGGCAGCCCTCTTCCTTCTTGGGCTCCTCCGACAGTGGTGGTTGACGGAATTGATTATTTGAATTCAATAAATCAAAGTTTCACCCTCTCTTCCAATCTTCCTCTAACCCTAAAAAAGCAATGTTTTTATGAAACATTGGGTGGGTTTTTGATGGGTTCTATTTTGGGCCAAAAAAAATTTTTATTAGGCCCCTTAAACCCTAGGCCACTGTCTAGTCTGCCTTGGGCCAGGGCCGGGCCTGCCTACTGTCATTGCAAAGATGTTAATTGTAAGAGCATTGTAGCCTCATGACTGTTAGAAGATAATAAAGTTTGCTCAACCTCTAGACTATTGAGGCAGTCGTTTAAGATTTTACATTTAGATAACCCTTGGATTTTATAAAATTTCATTCCAACTAGTTTTGCCGGTAGAATCTCGGATTCAGATTTTTCTTTTGCTGATTATTAAAAATTATTCTAATAAATCAATTTACCAACGAAGAATTTGATGCTAATAAGTAATAAAATAAATATTATTGACAAAAAATTCTGCAAGTAATACAACAAGATCAAAATAGTAATTTGATACTGGAGTTTTTTTGTCGTCGATAATTTTAAAGAAAATTATCTCAATGAATTTAGATTGGATATAAAAATTTGTCATTTAATAAGTCAATAAATATTACAAATATTAAAATAATATCTTTACAAACTTATGTTGGTAAATAACAATTTAAGATTACAAACAGTTGAATGATTGAAGCACGTCAGTTATTGTGGATGACACCATGTATAACATTGCTATCGTGGGCTCGTCTAAGGCTCATCTTAGACGAGACGCTCAGTGAGCGGCTCGGCTCGTCTTTTGACGAGCCCGAGCAGCTCGTGGGCTGCTACAGTACGAGCCGACGAGCCGCTCGGCTCGATTGCCACCACTAGAGAGGATGCATCACTTTGGATAACTCAATATATTGCATCGACTTGGCCAGGTAGGATTTTGATATGGAGTGTGGACCTAATTGAACTTGTTAGCTAATTGTCAGTGGCTGATACTTGGAACCTCATCAAAAGAGGCGTAGCAGTATTATTATAGTTGATTATGTCTGAGTTTTGAAATATATTGATATTCATTAGATAACATCATTGATTTTGTGGTCATTTTTTCATTTAAATTCTTTTTTATGATTAATTTCTAAAAGACCCTTTAAAGATTTTGTACAAGACTCAAATTGTTAGAGCCTACATTTGATAGTAATTAAGAGAAATTACTTCGTTTCTATTTGACAATCATTAAAATAAAACTATTTTTTTCTCAAATTCATTTCAATCATACATGCTCACAAAAAAAATAATTTGCAAATAACCTCAAATTTTTCTCCTACTTTTAACTACACATTTTTCAAAAAATCACTCTTTGAGAATTCATTTTCCCTCAAGAAATTCATTTTTGGTTGTGAAAAGAGAGAATAAAATTCAATAGACTTGTGTATATTATAATGAGAACTAAAGTCCTATATTTATAAGGCATGATTAGGGATACAATGGTAATAATTTCTAGGGATGCAGAGGTACAATTATTATTCACTAATAAACTTACCATTTACAGCACTCCTCCTTAAATGATACATTAAAAAAAATATGCCTCGTTAAAACCTTTTTTGATAAAAATTCAATAAGACAAAAAAATCAAATGAAGAAAAAAGAATACAGTTATTTTGGAGTATTAAAGATAAATGCTGCCTCATTAAAATTTTGCTAGGAAAACCCAATGAGATAAAACCTAAGCGAAGGAAAAAGAGTACAGCTACTCCCACTGATATTGATCATTAAAAATCTTTGAGTTGGCGCATTCCAATCTTGTGAACCAATTTCTTGAATGTAGATGTTGGTAGTGCTTTTGTAAATAAATTAGCCATATTGTCACTTGGACGAATTTGTTAAACATCGTTGTCGCCATTCTTTTGAAGTTCATGTGTATGAAAGAATTTTTTAGAAATATGTTTCGTCCTATCACATTTGATATAATATCATTTAAGTTGTGCAATACAAACAGTATTGTCTTCATACAAAATTGTTGGACAATTTTTTGTTGAAATTAATCCACATGATATTTGAATATGATGAATCATGTTCC